ATGGTTGTTTAAGAATTTCTCCAGTTTGTATGCTGGTGAATTATTCATATTTTTTGCAGCTAATGAGTTTCAATGGCTTTGAATAGTTCTATGAAGAAAGTTAGCCACGGCTGGTCAAAATACGTGTTGTGAACCTTTGCTGTGAATGCAACCCATTTTCTCTGTGGATCGTAGACAAGCTTTGCTAATTTCTGTGCACATATGCGCTATTCAGATCTCAGACAGATGAGACAAACAAGACCTTTTCAGCACATGAGTCAGCTGTGAGCTCCTCCGTTCGACTGTTCATCTTCCCTGGTGCAGGATTAGTCAAGTGAGTCACCATGTTTATTTATGATTCTTCATTTTGCAGTTGTTCTTCCTGGTTATTTTTCAGCCAAGGGCGGCCCTGCAATGTGCAGCGTTCATATGACGGGCCTTTCTTCACCAAAAGGTCATAAAATGTGAAGATCAGGTCTTCCAGTGGTTAGACTGGCTGTTACTTCCCTCTGATGCCAGAGAGGCTACTCATGATCATGAGTTTGAATCAAGACATGAATCCCCAAGGGCTGTATGTCAGTAATTTCAAGTGCTTTTTTTCAGCAGAGGTGAGTCTTAAATTTCTAAAATAAATAAATACATGCATGGAAAAAAACCCAGATGTTTTCTAAGAACACATTATCGGAAGTTGGGTCTTTCTTATAAATACTTCATGAACAGAAAGGAGAATTTAATCTGCTGAACTAAATGACTTTGTATGATTTAGGGTCAAAACCCAGTGCTGACAATTCCAAGGGCTTTTCCATGAACACTGCACATTGTGGGAGCAATTCAGAATGCTCCTTCCTTGGTTCTCCTTCCTCCACCAGTGTTGATCTGCTTGTTGTTCACGTCTCCCTTTCTAAGCCTTTCCTTACAGTTTCTTCAGCTTCAATTAGCTCTAATAATTTGAGGCAACCTAAGCACGTTTTTCTGGTCCTTCTTCTTTCCGCTTCTTCTTCTGCACATTACTCCCAGTGGGAATCTTCCTTGCAGGGAAGCTAAGTGTGCATGTCCGCTAGAAGCTAAGTGTGCATGTCCGTTCTCCCTTGGTGATCTACTGTGTGGGGAGGGAACAAAGTGAGATGTGGTCTCTTACCCAATTTGTATCTATGCCATGTTTGCAGCTTGCTAAATGTTATTCAGCCTTGGACATAGCTTTTTTGTGAGGTGTACTATACTGTCTTCTCTTCTTAAGTGTTCAAACAGACTCAATGAAACCAGTTTTATATTGCTCAGTCTTTCATTAGCTAATGTTAAATATGGTGGTGTTGCAAGTTCACTTCATTATTACTTTTAAAAGGTGATAAATTCATTGATTTGGTATGCTGAGCCATTTTTTTAAAAAGTGAAGAAATCCATTTTATCTTCATTTGCATTTAACTAAGCCACCTTTTGAGTATTACAGGAGAAAGGCTCACCCTGCATGCTAACTTAGGGATGTTAAGCTGAATTGTCCGCAGCTGCCAAGATAAGGACACTGGCCCAAACTTTGTTAGCCTGCTGTCTTGTGGGACAGTCAGGATTTTCAGTGACAGTTTGTTTTTACTTACTCACAGACAATCTTAATGGCTTCAGCTGCCAGTACTTCTGTATGTTCATACTTTTAACCTTCTGAATATTCCAACTGATTTCACCAGCATACCTAACACAGAACCTGTGCTTAACTGTTCAGAGACAGTAATGTCAAAAGCCTTTACTGATGCTACCTTCTCCGAAATGTATCACTTTCTTGCAGCATGTCTTATTTGACCCCTTATTTTCCAACAGTCTCTTAGATTTATCATCCATGTATCTCTTCAAAATGACTGGTGGCAGAGACATGCAAATAGATCATTTAATTTTCCTGCAATGTCTTTATCCCCTTTAATTGTTCCCATTGCACCCTGGTACTCCACTGAGCCTTTTGATTCTCTCACAGCCTGCTTATGCCTCTTATAATTAAGTAATTTCTTCTTATTTATTTTCATGTTATGCCTTTGGCTAATCTCTCCACCAAATCCCTCAGCTAAACCATCTTAATTTTTGTTTTACATTATTGTTCCTTACCACTAGCTTCTCTTGGGCTAACTTCCCATTTTCCAAAGGATATTTGAAGAGCCTCTTTCGCAGTACCTTTCCATTCACCCAAGGCAGATAGGCACTCTCCCTCTCTCCTCCTTTTTGTCTTCCTGGGGCTTGTGCAAATCTTTTGTAACTCATTAGTGGCTCACTTCAGTAGGCTCCACGATGAACCTTTACAGCACCTTACAGATTTCCCTTTGTGTAATAGTAATTTATTTCACTTTCTGTTTGTGCGAGAGGGTTAAACTGGTGGGGAAGGGCGTTGGAGGAGGGAAGGGAATATTAAGCAAAGGAACAAAAGAGATGGACTAATAGAAAGTGGTCCTATGTTCATGCATAGAAAATGATTTGGATGCAAATCAGCCACACAGCTGAATGATTTGTCTCAAAGCCTGAAGATTAGGCAGCAGAGGGCTTCAGCCTCAAGTGGCACTCTCTCTGATTTCTATCCAGACCCTGCGTTCACAAAACAGCCTGACTGCAAACAGCCGACCTGGAGGACTTGTGTGCTGCTTTCATGCCTCCTTGCACTCATCTGAAAAAGTCTTTGTGTTCACTCTGAGCTATTTCCTACACCATGTCTTAAAACTGCAAATATGTAGAGGCGGGGAGCGACCTGGGCAGGGGACAGCTAGATCAGTTACACACCAGGAAAACTGGGTGCCATATCTCCCAGGCAACTAATTTCTACTGAAAGTACAGGGAAATAGAGGTGAGAAATTGCTTGATAAACTGGTAATTTATGTAGACACCTAAACAAAGATTGAAATTCCTAAGGATAGAGTCTGAGAGGAAGATTTTGCTCAAACAAAATATTTCATTGTGCTTTAGAGTTTAAGTGTATTATAGAAGGTGCCTTGTATACACTGTTTCCATACAGCCCTACTGAAATCATTACACAGCCTTTAAAAGCATCAGAGGTAACAGGATCATGGATATGAGTTTGCGTCTTCTATTAAGAAACTTTTTCCCCAAAATAAAGGATGAAACCTTTTCTGATCACAATGCGGCCCTATTTTCACACCTTCAGTAATTGCAAGTTTTCAGTTTATTTTAAGATTTGCAAACGTGGGGTTAAATCAAGCTCTGGATTAGTCCATCTTCCCCCATCTAGCCAGAAAGACCATCGATGAATGATGATATCATTCTGTGTTGACGCCAACAAGAGAGTGAAGGTTGACATGTGCGTGAGGACTACTGGAGACACTGCACACCCCTGAGACCTTCCATGGGGCAGTGGGTAGTATATTCATATCAGTTTTTTGAAATAAATTTACACTGACAATGAACGTCCATTGCCAATCCAAACGTATCCCTTCACCTTACATCGCTAAGGGAAGTACCCCTTCAGTTTGTCTGTTTTGCACAGCTTCCCCACGATTTGAAAAGGTCAGGGTTGTCCTGTTACTGCAAATGAGGGAGGGGTGGTCTGGTACCCAGCAGCAACAAAGTTAAATATCTTTAAGCTCTATGTATTGCAAGTTGCCTCAGCAATTATACTTCAGAGAAGCTTCTAATTTAGGCAAAGAGGCACAGTTCAGAAACAGCTTTTTCAGAGGACCGTGTATTTAGAGATGGAATGTACATTTCCACTCGAAACCTGCTGAGAGAAAAGAGAAAGAATAAGAAAACACTTCACCATTTACTTCTAACAGAAATTTATCATGTGTTGCTGCCTTTCAGAGGTACAGGTCTTGACTGTAGAGAAGTTTGTTTCGACTGCACATAGGTTTTTTCTCAGGCAGAATTTGAAACAACGCTCTTGTAGGCTTAGATGACTTGTTTTAATTAAAAGAAAACAGCAGAAAAGGATTAAATTAAAATCTCCATGTGAGAACACGGAGTCAGCAGTCCTTGTAATAGACTTCAGGGCTCATCAAAATTTGAGAATTATGCAGAGGTAAAGCAGACTGCAATAGCAGTATGTTACAATATCATTTTACAGAAGGTTAAGCTGTACTTTCTGAAGATTTCCTTGCCTGTTTCTTTCTAAGAGAATCCGTTGTTTGTAAATCATCTTAATGGGAAGGACAGGTGATGAGAGGGCCTGATTCAGCCTACTCAGGTGTAAATATGGAATAACCCATTAAAGTGTCCAACTCTTGCTTTTGTAAAATGAATGAGATGGAAGTAGAGAGTGGCCCAGGCTTCTCAATACAGACTTTCACATTAAAGAAAACATTTCAACATTTTCTTCTCTGTCACTTGCTATCATCTCCTTCAGGGCCTCCAAGGTTTCTAATTATTCTCCCAGAGCTGAGGGAAGCCTTGCAGCCAGCCTACTGGTAGCTGTTAACTAATAAAAAGCTCCCATTTCCAGTGGATGCAGCTATTTTCCATGTCCTGTTTGGTTCACAGAAATAAAGCAACAGCCAACCTTTATTGTGCAAAGCCTTGGATCATTCCCTCCACTCAAGCAGGAAGCCAGGGAGCCTAGTTGTAAACCTACCATGTATATTAATAGCGTTCTGATTTATTTCCTTTTCTGATTTTCCTCTTTATAACAGAAAGAAAAGAAAGGAAAAAACCCCACACAAAACAACTGGTAAAGTATATCCAAAGGAACAGGGATTTAAACTGATAGCCCAAATCCGTTTCATTTCACTACAGAAAAATAATTTCCCAAAGTAGCTTAGCTAAAATCTATTGTAAGGAATACCAGAAGAATCAAAAAGATTTAATTCAGGGTTTATTTTATCCACCAGTGAGCAGGATTTATCACATGAAGCAGAGGAATGTGAGTTTTGGAGCAGGAGCACTTTAGTGACACCCCTGAAACAACTCTCTTTTCAGAAGAATTCTACCAGAATAAATCCCCGTCCCTTGCTCATGCCCCATCCACAGCAAAGCTGAGTATCTTGAGGTTTGAAGATAACTGCACCCATTGATTTTTTTTTTTTTTCCTGCTTTGGCTTTAGGAACTCCTTCATCGATATCCTTCGGGCTATCCTACTATCATTGGAAGTTCTCATCGAAGATCAGGAGCTTCAGATAAATGGCTTTATTCTAATTATAGATTGGAGCAACTTCTCCTTCAAGCAAGCCTCCAAGCTTACACCATCTATCCTCAAACTGGCCATTGAAGGGTTACAGGTAGGTTGAGGGTAATACATGTACCTGCAACTTCTATTGCTGCAGCCAGTGATTTTTGCCTCATCAGGCACTGGGCAGGGTGAAGGGTGGTGGGAGAAAATAATCCAGAATGCTTTAGTGTCCTACCCACTCGCAGCACAGATTGATTTTCAGATGTTTCGTTTTGACTGTCTTTCGCTTTTTTCAGCTGTTAATCAGTGTAACCAATGTGTGTGTTACTTACTGCAGCATTAAGAAAGACAGTGAGAGATTTGAGGTTTAATCCATCAGAGCATTCAGGGGGATTAAATTCAGCAGCATCTGCCTTCTGGAGTGCGCAGTCCACGTGCAGGCACATCTGTATGCAGAGGGAGGGTGGCAGGAGAAGAGGGCAACTCCTTCAGCAGATGGAAACGTGCTGTCGTGTTCACGCACGTGCATTTGAGTCGGAGGGAAATGAGGAAGAGGGTGGACAGGCTCCCTGTCATGCCCTCATTCTGACTGCCTTAATTTGTCACACAGGACCCTGTTACATTATGGTTCAGACTGTTCAGGGGCTGCACATCCGCGTGGTGCTTGCAGATAAATAGGAGCAAGCTAAAACAGTGTGCTGTTAGGGAGTTAGGTGGAAAGCAAGGACAAAGTGGCTGGGGCCTGATGAGGCAACCCAAGGATGAGGATAGTTTGTGGTGCTCAAAGAGGACTTCAGCCCTCCCACTAGAGTCTGAGCCCATCTCTGCTGTTAGACCTGTTGCGTTAAGAGGCAGAGCAATTTGG